CAGTTGTCAATCGGGGACCCTCTGTCCATCGGGGACCTTACTGTCCTCTATTGTTCAGGGTCCCCATTTGAATGCAGAAACAAACTCGCACACACCCAAGGGAGATCACTGCTCGATAGGAAATCTCTTTGTTCCCTCGTTCATGCTCAGAGGCCATCGATCATTGGCCGGTGATAAATACTGGATCCTTTGACACACATTGCTGACCTTAAGTCGGGAATCAGGTTCTTGACATTATGACAAATTTGTGTATGAAAATGTTAAAAGAGTTGCATGGTGAAACCGACGTGTTAGATCTGAGAGATATCTGGTTTGAGTGATAGTAAAGTCGTTCAGTATTTAAAAGAGCCAGTGTGTCGTAACATTTTGATATCAACATTCAAAGTGCTCATAGTAGAAATATATATTCTTCATTTTTTTCGAGTAATTACCCTGCACGGCCCATGTTCCTCCCACGGAAACTCAGGGAAGTGATCAGAGCAAGTTCATTTCTCATAAATTTCACCCAGCGTTTTACTCCTCAAGAATGCACTTCCAAACTGAAAAATACTGCAGAAGCCTTCTAGTTTTGAATTTTCTTTATCTCTGACTTCCCAATCGCACTTGCTGCCAAGCGGTTGATACCGTGCACGATATGGGGGCCGATGGGTACCCCCCCCCACATGTCCAATCCCTGTTCACACTCTAGACTATTGTTACCCAACACATCCCCCCCAGAAGTCTGTAAAGAATTCCTGGGATTCTGATCAAACAATGACCAACACAAAGGCGGGGGAGGGTCTCTCCGTCCCATATCTTGCTTCATAGGGAGTGGTTTGTTTTCTGAAATACCGTCTTACCATTCAAGACTGTACCCATCAAGATACATGAATCTTGATGGGTTTTTTGGTTTTTTTTCAGCAAACCTTAACTGTTCATTCTTGTATCTTACAAAGTTTCAAATCACTTGAAAACTTCTTCCTCTGTCACAGGAACAAGAGTTGTTTTTCTTTCATGAGCTCAGCCCGGGCAGTTGCTTCTTCCAGCCCAAAGGAGCCCACATTTACAACACTCTCATCGACTACATCAAGGTCAGTGAGACCACCACAGAATACACACATCAAATCCAAGAACGTGGCTTGACTACAACCGCTGATGCCAAGTGCATCAGCCTTTTTCACCCGATGCACTGCGCGGCGTCAGGCAGGGTTTTAAGGTTTAAATAAGCATGTCAGGACACCTTGTGAGAACATGCGTCAGGAAGCGTTGGTTATTGTGACGGATGTTCAGCATAGTTTTCCCAGAACATGGTTTGAGATTTGTTTGTCATATTTTGTCGGATTAATTTTAGATTTGCTGACAAGATAACAGCGTCTATGTACAAACTTTGCAGGCACGTAATGGCAAGTTGTCGAGAGCAGCCAAAAGGGTGGCAGCGTAAATCGTAGAATGAATTTTCTACTGAGTTTCACAAGTTACCCTGCACAATGATCCTTCATCCAAGCACTCTACGGTTTATGACCACAGGCTTTGTACCTTCAACACTCACTGATCCAGATAATATCAGAAAGAAAGGAGTATTTTCCAGTGATGTAGTCAAGTACTTTTTGAGAACCAAGTTCTCTGCCAAATATTTTTAACTAGTTAGGAGGGAACAAAGCTGAAGTACATCGGCATTTGATGGTACATGCGTAAAGGTAAGATAACAAAGCAACATAATGACTTCAGACTATCACTGTTTGATTAAAATTAACCTTTTAGGACAAACGTAGTCGCAAAGTATTTGGCCGAGTACTTTCCGAGTACTTTTCTCCTTAAAACTTAAATTTTACACAACTGGGGGTGTCTGAAGTCTAACATTTATTTTGTAATCTTACCTCTGCACATTTACCATCAAATGCCTGTGCACCCTGGCTTTATTCCCTCTTACCCAGTTCAGTATTTTTCGGAGAACGTTGGTACTCGGAATGCAATCGACTACAACACTGGTATTTTCTTTGGACATCCTGTCTGATTTTGCTTTTTTTCCTTCTACAGAGTGAGTACCGGAAGCGTGGATTCCAGGAGGTGGTCAGTCCCAACATCTACAACAGCAAGCTATGGCAGACCTCTGGACATTGGCAACATTATTCAGTAAGTTACTGTATTGTGGAAGGGAGAGTAACCCTAAGCCCTCTTTGCTAGGGACGCTCCTCAATCCTCCAGAATCTTCCAATTTGGTGGGGTTACAAAATTGGAATCTCCCTCAATGTCTTGGAAATGTAACTTGGAGGTGTGCCTGCTGCCTCAATCCTTCAAAATCCTCCGGCAGTTCCTGCCATTATGTCGAGGCAGTGCGAAGGGCATTCTTGACCAGTGCGGTTGATTCAAAAGAAATATCGGGGCTGAATTTATGCACGACTGAGCAAGAACAAAACAAAGGTCAAACCCACGACCTTCACTCATGGCATCCTTTGCAGTAAACCGTGCATTTTTGCCATTCACCCTCAATCCTCCCAAATCCTCCAAAACCACCTGAAGGATTTTGGAGGACTGAGGAGGGTTCGGGTTAACCCTGCCTCGTGCAACAGCATACACGCAATGTATAGCAGTTGATTCAATGCCACTGTGTGTGGTCAAAAACGCTGGCCTCGGCACATCGTACATGAAATTACGTTTCACTACAAATAGATGAGGCACTTTGGGAAAACCCATAAGATGCCTGAGAACTTCTTTTGAGATAACGGAAAAGTAGTCGCCAACTCTCTTTCTTTTCTGGCAGTTTGCAATTTTTTTTTAGAATTTCAGTTGACCCTTGCGAGTCGTCAATCCTCCAACTTCAGTATGATTTTACAAACACCTTAGGGGGAGGGTTAATATCGAAACAGTTTTGTTTGATGCAGTTTCAATACGTATTTAGAATCTTTCAGTTAGTAATTTTTGTGTAATCTCAATGAAAGTTTTACTCAGAACTCGAAAGCTTGATGTCTCAAAATGATATCAACCGTTTTTTTTTATAACTTTCCCAAAGCAAAACCTAAAGTGATAGACAGCTGAGAATGATGAACTACACACTTTTTTAAAACAGCACGGCGTCCTCGTTTTGCTGATGTATATAACATTAATCCTCCTATGCTGAAGTCACTCTTTGGGTCATTTGGTGAACACCTCAAAGAAGCACAGCTGTGTGGTGTTGTGCACTGCACCAACTGTCCCTCACAGGAATATCAGATTGCACTTTTTGTGCAGCCCAAC